TTGTATTTTTTTTCTTTTGATTTTCTTGTAGATTCATCAGGACATTATTTTCTTATTTTAAGAAACTGCCACAGCAACTCCAGTCTTCAGCAACATCACCCTGATTGGTCAACGGCAATCAACATCAAACAAGATCCTACACCAGCAAAAAGATTAGGACTTGCTGAAGGCTGAGACAGTTGTTAGCATTTTTTCAGCAATAAAATATTTTAAAATTAAAGTATGCACAGTATTTTTTTTCCACATAATGCTACTGTACACTTAACAAGTTACAATACAGTGTAAATACAAGTGTTATACACTGTTACAAAACAGTGTAAATACAACTGTTGTATGCACCAGGAAAACAAAAAATTCGTGTGACACAGGCTTTATTGCAGTATTAACTTTATTGTGGGGGTCTGGAACTGACCCCACAATATCTCGGAGGTATGTCTGTACATTATTCATAGAAAAAAGTATAATTTTAATGACGTTTTGAAATATTTAGCCGAAAAGTAGGAAAATGAAGTATCCAAGAGAAACAGTAAAACTCAGACAGCAGGACAGCTCGGAAAAAACAAACAAACAAACAAAAAACAGCAACAACTGGCGTGTTCAGGGACAGAAAAAGTTCACCGAGGCTTTTAATGTGTATCGGAGTGAAAAGAAATAAGGCTGGTACAGTAGTTTGCCGTCAGACTATATGCTTTAGGAGAGAGGGAGGCATTCTAGGTTGTCTTGTTTTCTTTACCAGCTTGCTGATACTCATGGGACTCAATTAGCTCAATTTAGACCTCTGTGTGGCAACAAGAACGAGTAGGACGCCTGGCAAAACACAGACACTAATGCCCAAGGCTGCACTTGGCTTCACAAGTACCTGCGGGAGAGACTCAGCAGTAAGGATGAGCATGAGAATGATTCAGGCGAAACAGGGAGGAAGTATTTATGGCTTTGCTCCCTCCTCCCTAACAAATATTTCAATCTGAGGATCCTAACCGCAGACCTTTTAGGACATCGGACATTTCCCCGTGAGCAATCCCCCCTCGCGCTCCTCAAATACAAGCCGCGGAGTCTGCCACAAACGCGTTGCTTCAAAACTCATCCTCCAACTTTAGACCCACCTAGCCGGTTAAGGATTTCGCAACTCACCATGCAAACTTCTTGCACCCTTCTGGAAGCCGCGCTTGGAGTAATTCGCGCCCAAAATTCATAAACCAAGGAGACCCGGAAGTGGGAGGGAAGAAAGCGGAAACAGGCATCTAACCTTACTCTTAAACGTCATCAAGAACGCGCCCGTCAGAGCGCGATTCGATTGGCTGGAGGGGAGGGCGGTGTCGGTCCACGCCCCAGAGTCATCAGGCTGGCGCTGGCGATTGCGCGTTGTGTGTGGCCTGGGTGAGGGCGGGGAGTCCTGGCTGTGTGGATCTCTGACAGGTGAGGCGGGGGACGCCGAAGTCCAGCCGCCCCCCCCCACAGCGGAGTCCGAAACAGGCCTACCAGTGAGTAGGACGTACACCTTTCAGATCGCTCATTCTTCTGGTGCCTGTCTCTCCTCTACCCCTATACTTTTGTCCTTTCTCTCCCCATCTGTCCTTCTGTCTTCGTTACCTTTCTCCTGTGGCGGGATCCCACTCACTGCCTTCTGCTTAGGTTTAGATTTTCACCTTCGAACCAGCCTCTCGTTTTAGGCGAGGTCCTTCGCAATTTGGGGGTACTGCTGCAAAGAAGGTGCTTGTAATACTTCAGAGGCCATGTTGTTACCTTCTCTGGCCACCTAAGCACCCCGAATTGTTCCCGCTGGCAGAGGTCACTTTTTGTACGATTCCAGACGGTTGTGATTGCTCCATGGCTGCCTCCCTTCTAGGTTGTGGGTTATGTTATTGTCAGGGTGTTTCTAAAAGTTGGCGGGACTAAAAGTGATTTTCTGTGTGTAAACGGGTCAAGGGTGAGAGGCAGAACAGAAAAGACAAGGCTAAATTGACATAAAAGCTTTAATTACTAATTCGTTCTCAGTTTTGCCTAGAAAGAAGGTGGTGGTAGGGAAACTCGAAGCCCTGGATAGCGTATGTGTGTAAAGTTTTTAACAACTTGATGATTTTTTCCCCATATAACTTTGTGTTTAATGATTTACTTATGCAAATATCAAATATAATTTTCATGCCCTATGTTTCCATCTCCTAACCCAACTGATTGAACATTGAAGTACCTTTTTGATATACTAATGTGGAATCACATGTCAACAGCCAAAGCTTGAAAGTTACTGGTGCAGAATTTTTTTCTCACTGATTTGTTTTTGAGGTGTGGGAATTAGATTCATCATTGCTCTTTAACACATTTTAGTTGTCAGTAACATATTTGCTTTGCATGTTGCTTCTTTGAATGCTTGAGGCCTCTCTTGATGGTCTTCTGAGAAAATGGAGAGGTCATATTGCCATCCACAGTAGTTGCGTTTTTATCTAAAAATGGTGTGTATTTCTACCCTTCCACCAATACACATGTGATTTTCAGGAAGTCACTTATAAGGGGCTTTTTCCTATTAGTTGTTCAGATTTAGGAAAGCCAACGTGAAATGGGTGTGATACTTCCTGCCAACAATTCTCAGGTGGCTTTCAAATTACCTTTTACAGGATTACTATTGAAACGGTTTAGTTGTAGCTTCATTATTTTTCTCACCCAATTTTTAAGCTAGTAAATGTAGTGGATGGCTTGTAAAAAGATGGATGACAAGGACCCCATGGATTTAACAGAATAAAAATTGTGCTAATATTAAAAAAAAATAGATTTTTTTTTTCTTTTTTTTCAGATGGAGTTTCACTCTGTCTCTGAGGCTGGAGTGCAGTGGCATGATCTCTGCTCAGTGCAACCCCCGCCTCCCGGGTTCCAGCGATTCTTGTACCTCAGCCTGCTGAATAGCTGGGATTACAGGCGTGCCAGTGCGCCTGGCTAATTTTTGTATTTATAGAAGAGATAGGTTTCACCATGTTGGCTAGGCTGGTCTGAAACTCCTGACCTCAAGTGATCCACCCACTTTGGCCTCCCAAAGTGCTGGGTTTACAGGTGTGAGCCACTGCACACAGCCTCTTTTTTGTTATGTTTCCAGTTAGACTTTGTTCCATGAACTTTTTACATAGTTGAACCTGTTGCATTTATAATTATGTGTCTTGAGTCTTTCAGTTACTACTTTTCGAGTTTGTTTCCCTTTTTTGGGGGAAACTACGCATAACACGTTTTTAACTTTTTACTTATACATATTTACGGAAACTGCATAAAACATAACTGTACAATTTGATAAATTTCCACAAACAGAATATATCTATGTAAGTGGCAATCAGATCAAGACCATTACCCAAAAAGTTCCCCTCTTGCTCCTGTTGTGTTCTAGCAACCATAAGCAACCATTCTTCTGACATCAAAGATTAGTTTTGCTAGCTTTCTAAAGATATTTTAATAGCTACATGAAATTCTATCATCTGTATATGCTGTAATTCATTTATTCATATATTATTAGACACTGTTTTCCTAAGTTCTTTCTATTACAAATAAAACTATAGGGAACATCTATTTTATGTCGTATTACAGAAGCTTCCCCAGAAGTAATGTTCTTCAGTGGAATGGCACAAGCATTTCTGAAGCATTTTATATATATTGACAGTTTACCTTCCAAAGTAGTTCAGATAGTTAATACTCTCACCAGTGGTTTATGCCTCTTGTTTAACAACCCCATATAAGTGTCATTTATTTCATTTAAGCTTTACTAAACTGATAAGAAGTGGTATGGAAAACAGAATTTGAAACTCACTTTACTTGTTGCCTTATCTAGTATAAAAAACACATAGTACAGTGAATATATTAATGTTTGTATCTCAGTATCTTTTTAAACAATAGTCTATATATGTTTAGGCTGTATGACTGACAAGTTTTAGTAATTCAGGTGAACATTTTACTGCTTTTTGGGGTGGGATTTTAATCAAGCAACTTTATTTCTCTGAGCCTCAGTTTCTACAACTGCAAAATGTTGACATTGCACCCAGTCACCCAGTATAAGACTTTATACTAGATATCAGGAATATACAGTTCTAATGTTGGATCAGTTTATAAATTAGTATAGAAGTAGATTACTGAAGAGGCCATTTAGCTCACCTTATGGGTTCTGGGATGAGTTGTGAGCATATTAGTTAGATGCAAAGATTTTGAAACAGGCTGCATAGGTTCCAATCAATGCTGTCTCCTCTGTGCCTCAGTTTCCTAATCTGTAAAATGGGGCTAATAATAGTACCTATCTCTTAGGGGTATTGTAAAGATTAAAATTGCTTCTCTATGTGATGTCTTTATAGCCTTCTATGTTACTGGCACATAGAAATACTGCAAATTGGAAATAATGCCTTGGCTGAATTAGCCAGAGAAGAACATTTTAGGCAGAAGGAAGAGCAAGAGCAAATTCACAAAACTTTGACATATGCACAACAAACTGTAGGTAATCCAGTATTTCTGGTGCACAAAATGCATAAAGAGGACAAAGGCAGAGATGAGTCTGAGGGGGAAACAGAGACCAGTTCATGAAGGCCTCGAATGCCTGTTTGTCTTATTCACTACTTTTTTTCTCCATTACCCAATGTAATATCTGTCATAACTGTTATTTAATAAAAGCATTTTGAATGAAAAAATTAATTAGGGGGCTATAGTATATCTTCCACATGATACAGAGGCTTTGAAAAATTTCATGGGGAGTGTGACATAGTCATATTTACATTGATGCCATTGTATGGAATGGATTTGTATAAAATGGAGTAGAAGGGGGCGAAGATTGGTCAGTAAGACCAGTTAAGAGGCTACTGAGGAAAAAGATCGTAACTAGAGCACTGATAGTAATTGCTGAGAAGAGGGGCCAAAGTTATAAAATATCAGGTGCAGGAAGCAGAAAAGGGAAGAAATGAAATCAGACTAATACATTCTTTTCCTTTTTGGTTTCATTCTAATCTGTAGCTCCTATTTTCTCTCCCTCTTTTAAATGTTTATATACTGTTTCTTTTTCTAGGTCAGCTCTTGCTTCTGTTGGGTGTTTCCATTCTCCACCATGTTAAGAGCTAAGAATCAGCTTTTTTTACTTTCACCTCATTACCTGAAGCAAGTGAAAGAATCATCAGTCTCCAGGCTCATATGGAAGCGACTTCTACACCAGCAACAGCCCCTTCATCCAGAATGGGCTGCCCTTGCTAAAAAGCAGCTGAAAGGCAAAAACCCAGAACAGCTAATATGGCACACCCCAGAAGGGATTGCTATAAAACCCTTGTATTCCAAGAGAGATACTAAGGACTTACCTGAAGAACTTCCAGGAGTTAAGCCATTCACACGTGGACCATATCCTACCATGTATACCTTTAGGCCCTGGACCATCCGCCAGTATGCTGGCTTCAGCACTGTGGAAGAAAGCAATAAGTTCTATAAGGACAATATTAAGGGTGAGATTTTAATGTAAGACATAATATTTATCATAAGACATTTACCTCCTAGTGTTGGCTTTTTTTAAGGTTAATTTCCGTAAAGATGATATTCACTCCATAATTTTGTAGTTAAAGACTACACTCTGAAAAAAAAGTGGGTATTTTTTATCTTCTGTGGTCAAAAAGATAAGTGAGTTCGAATAAGGTGCTAAATTTTTGAAAGAAAACAACACTTATATTCACATTGTTTAAAAGGAATTAGGTGAGGTGAAGTTGCATGAAGAAAAGAAGACATTAGCTTTGCCTTGGAAAAATGTTTAATTAATATTGTTGGGATAGGGATTGGAGAGAAAGATAGGTTAAATGATGCCCAAAGAAAGTGTAAATGTGATAACATGGTACAAACATATTTCAGTGTATTCTGGCATTCATTCACTGAAAATTAACTCATTTCTTCTTTCTGAGCTGTAATAAAATCATATTGTTTGAATGCTAAACTTGTAGATTTACAAGGTTGTATTGCCCATGGAAGGTCGAACTTATTTATTTTTAGTATAGACTATTTCAGTTATTTAAAAATTGTGTATGATTGTCATAATTCTGTTTACCGGAATATTTGACTAGCCAAGAATCCTGTTGTGACCATATTGGATAAAAGAACAAAAAAGTAAGCAAGCATACAAATGTGAGTTATTTTTACCATATATGAACAGCAGATCTTTTCATGAATTTTAGAAATATTTCAATCAAGTACCAAATCTTCAGATGGAAATGAGATAATTGAGATTTGTGTTTCTTCCATTCTTTCCTGTAGTGAGGTCTAGAACTAAATTTGTGCATTTTGGCACAAGGGAAAAAGCTGATTCCCTTAAAAAGTGAAGTATCATTATTTAAATTTATTTCGACATGTATGAGCATAAAAATAGTTGTTATAAAAGTATACTGTTATGAGATGAATGAACATTTTTAGTACTGTTAAAGTAAATCATTTTACTTTGATTCCAGATTCTTGAATCTTACATTATTTTTCTTTATGTATTTAGCTGGTCAACAGGGATTATCCGTTGCCTTTGATCTGGCGACACATCGTGGCTATGATTCAGACAACCCTCGAGTTCGTGGTGATGTTGGAATGGCTGGAGTTGCTATTGACACTGTGGAAGATACCAAAATTCTATTTGATGGAATTCCTTTAGAAAATATGTCAGTTTCCATGACTATGAATGGAGCAGTTATTCCAGTTCTTGCAAATTTTATAGTAACTGGAGAAGAACAAGGTGTACCTAAAGAGAAACTTACTGGTACCATCCAAAATGATATACTAAAGGAATTTATGGTTCGAAATACATACATTTTTCCTCCAGAACCATCCATGAAAATTATTGCTGACATCTTTGAATATACAGCAAAGGTATAATTTGTGGTTCTTATGTTTTTTCTATAGTTCCTTGAATATAGGAATTTTTACAACATGCTACAACCTAATTTAAAAACTGAGTCTGAGTAATGTAATATGAATTTAGAATGTGTTTTTATTGTTACTTTTTGTTTTTAATGTACTAATTTTATGTTCTGTCATTACTTGTAGGAATCTGGGCAATAGATCTTTACTGTGTTTTCTTTATTCTTAAAATTTAACTCTGATAATTATTAGAATCAGGGATGTCTTCTACTTGCATTTTTAAATTTCTCTCAGAAATTCAGATGCAGTTCTGAAGCAGACACTGGTATCAGACAAATGGGGATTAGAATATCAGCTTTATTTCTGCTAAAAGCTGAATTTGATTATATTACTTATCACTTATATCTACAATCTCAAGGAGGTCCCTAATATTCACCCCTGAATTAGACTCGTCTTTCCCAATAAGAATGATGGGAAAAGTCCTTCCATAGGAACATATTTTCCTCCTTCCTTTTCCTGTGAGCAGTTTGTTTATATTTTCCCCCGTTGTTCACACTTTGCTTCTTACCAGCAATGTGCTTCTTTTCCTTACCTACATTAAGACCATTATTTCATGGCACAGGGAAAATCTTCATCAACCTTTTTTGTCTCTATCAACCCTAGTAATTACTCTTATCTCCAAACTCTAGCAAACATTGCCTAGCAAGCATTTTACGTTTGGTTAACTCTCGGTAAGGATAGTTTTTCTTGGTTCTGAAGGATATGTGTGATGTATTCTACCTAACATGAAATTTTAGGGGAATAGTGGAAATGTAGTTTTTGTAGTGATTGTGGTGGAAAGAATCTGTGTGGGATATGCTTAGTATTAAATGTCACAGTAAATCAGACTGAAATCTTTGATTTTTAAAGCCATGTATTGTATCCCATTTTGTTTCAACATATAGTACTAAAAATCCATTTTCTTTTTTTTTCCTACTGAGTACTTATTCATGTTTAATGCCGTCATTCAAAGTAGAAAATTAATAACTAGTAAATATTAAATTTATACATCTTCAGCAGATTAACCCAAAGTTTGGGTCTACAACCTCTTAAGAGGTCAAAGTTCTTGGTTTGGAATTAAAAATGCCTCATTTAGTTCTCAGGCTAAAGGTTACATTCCTAACCTCAGCTAGCTAATTCCACAATTTAAACTTTTAGAAGAATGATTAGTACAAATTCTTGTCTACCAGAAAAATAAAGTAGGTACAGTCCTGATGATGTTTTATGGACCAACCATTTAAATTGGAAAAGAAATTAAATGTAATAAGTAAGCATTAAGTATTTTGTTAACATTATAAACCGCCAAGTATATTTGAGTTGAACATCATTTAAAAATAGTATTTGCATTTAGAAAGTGGATTTAGTAGAACCTTTTAATATTTTTACTAATTCACTGTAATAATTTTTTTTTTTGTAGCACATGCCAAAATTTAATTCAATTTCAATTAGTGGATACCATATGCAGGAAGCAGGGGCTGATGCCATTCTGGAACTGGCCTATACTTTAGCAGATGGATTGGAATACTCTAGAACTGGACTCCAAGCTGGCCTGACAATTGATGAATTTGCACCAAGGTGAGTAAATTAAACCTAGATATTGTTCCAACATTAAGAAATGCATAGGACCATTTTATATATTGATAACAGGAATTTGTAAATATAAATGTCAGGCTAGATTTAGATTTTCTTATATTTTATCTGAGTGATAATGACAGAAAAAGCCAATACTATTTTTAATATAAAATTAGAATTAAATTTGGCCATACTTCTTTGTAAATATGTTGTCTCCAGCTATTTGGAGAACACAATTAAGTTACACATTTTAACAAATTATATTAAAATGCAAACATACTGTTGAAACAATTTTACTTTGATTTTTCTAATGTTTTCATTTTAGAAAGTGGAATTCATCTATTGTTTTTTTTTTCTATTGCACTATTTAATGTAATGTTTTGGGATCCACTGAGCTGTTGAAAACATTTTGTTTCACAACAGTTCCTTAATAATGTTATATGAAAAATATGGAAAAACTTAAATGAAGTTTATGAAATATTTAAATTTGGAAGTCAAAAGTCATTCAGTGGTTCAGTCAGTATAGCATTCACTAGCTAAGCTTTGCTGTGCCAAACACTAGCCAATATGCTGACAATACAACATGTAGAAAACATAGCTTCTGCCTTCAGAAGCTATGTTTCATTACCTACTGAAATATATTTCATTGCCTACTGAAATGCTCCTTTATACCAGGGATTTGTTTACTTATTGTGACAGCAGTTCTCAAAGTATGATCTAAGAATACTTGGGCATTGCTAAGACTCTTTCTGGGGTATTTGAGATCAAAACTATTTTTATGCTTATATTAGAGCTTTATTTACCTTTTTCACTTGCATTTTCTCAAGAATTTGTTGTGGTGTTTTTCAGAAGCTACATGGTATGTGATATTGCAACAGATTGCAGAAACAGTTATAGGACTCCAACTATCTTCTCTTAAGCCATATATAAAAGAGATTTGCAAAAATGTAAAAGAATGATGCTTTTATTATATATATTTTTAAGAGGCAAACTTATTTTTCATAAGAAATGTTACTAATGTTAATATGTTGTGGGTTTATTTTGATTTGATTTGATGATTACTGAGACAGGATATTGCTCTGTTATTCAGGCTGGAGTGCAATGGCATGATTTCTGTTCACTGCAGCCTCAGCCTGCCAGGCTCAAGTCTTCCTCCCACCTCAGGCTCCCAAGTAGCTGTGACTACAGGTGTGTGCCACCATATCTGGCTAATTTTAAAATTTTCTTGTAGAGATGGAGTTTCCCTGTGTTGCCCAGCCGGTCTTAAACTCCTGGGCTCAAGCTATGCTATCCTCCTGAGTTGGCCTCCTAAAGTGCTGGGATTCTAGGCAGTAGCCACTGTGCCCTTCCTTATTGTTCCTTTTAAATGAACTAGTAAATAAAATATTGATAGATACTATACAAATAAAGAAATAAATTCTTGGGAATCTTCAGGAAGTTTTAAGAGTGAAAATGGAAACTGACATCAAAATATTTGAGAACTGCTGTGTTAAGAACTTTTTCCAAAGCCAGGCATGGTGGTTCATCCCTGTAATCCTGGTGCTTTGTGTGACTAAGGCAGGCAGATCACATGAGGCCAGGAATTCAAGACCAGCCTGGCAAACATGGCAAAAACCTGGTCTCTACTAAAAATACAAAAATTAGCTGGGCATGGTGGTGTTTGTGTGTAATCCCAACTACTTGGTAGGCTGAAGCACAAGAATTGCTTGAACCTGGGAGGCAGAGGTTGCAGTGACCTGACATTGCCTCATTGCACTCCAGCCTGGGCAACAGAGCAAGACTGTGTCTCAAAAACAAACCAAACCAAAACAAAACAAAACCTTCCAAATATGTATCAGGAATGCATTTGCAAGCCTTGTGTCTTTAGAAAGAGACAAGTAACCTAAATGTTTAAATCAGTACAGAATATAAGATAAAGGGGGTAGTGGAAGGCACAAATTGAAGAAGTATATGCCTAGAGCAAATGCACAATCATTCTTTTACAGAATACTTTCTTGCTATTTAAATAGAGCAAATTTGTTTTTTTATTTCATTTATACGTGACTGCTTTCTTACATATTGAGTATTCCTAAAATATTTTTTTAAAGAAATTGAATCTTTCTTTAATGAAGGATACAAGAAGAGATTCTTTCTTAAAGAAAAACAACTGCAAAGTGAATAATTCTTACCTGAAAAAAAATTTCTTCTACATGCATAAAACTGTAATTTTATATTAGATTTAAATTTACGTAAATATACATGCACTGATCTTAATTCAAATTAAGTTGTTTGAATTTAAAATATAGACCTTGATTTTCTAGTGTATGATACAATTAATTTTATTTTCTGTTCCACATTGTTAATTTTAATTAAATTCATGATCTAACATTACTATTTTAGGTTGTCTTTCTTCTGGGGAATTGGGATGAATTTCTATATGGAAATAGCAAAGATGAGAGCTGGTAGAAGACTTTGGGCTCACTTAATAGAGAAAATGTTTCAGCCTAAAAACTCTAAATCTCTTCTTCTAAGAGCACATTGTCAGACATCCGGATGGTCACTTACTGAGCAGGTGTGTATATAATTTAAAATGTAGAATTTTAATAAAGTTATGTGTATATATATACACACATATGCAAATATATACATATTTTTCTGAGCAATGTGGCACAACCAGGAAATAAACTTAAGAAGCAATCTGTTAATATTTGAAAATCATAAATATTCTGAAGCATAATGTATATTTATGTTTGTATTCATACATAGTATAAATAAATAAATACATAAATAAATAAAATTGCCTCTAGCGGTTAACAATATAAAATCACTTATATACTAGTTTCCATGTAGTGCTGAAACACTTTTGTAAAAGTAAATAAGGCAGGGTGCAGTGGCTCACGTGTGTAATCCCAGCACTTTGGGAGGCTGAGGTGGTTGGATCACCTGAGGTCAGGGGTTTGAAACCAGCCTGATCAACATGGCAAAACCCTGTCTCTACTAAAAATACAAAATTAGCCAGGAGTGGTAGTGCCTGCCTGTAATACCAGCTACTTGGAAGGCTGAGACAGGAGAATCACTTGAAACTGGTAGGTGGAGATTGCAGTGAGCTGAGATCTTGCCACTGCACTCCAGCCTGGGCCACAAGAGCAAAACTCAGTCTCAAAATAAATAAATAAATAAAAATAAAACAAAGTAAACAAAATTTAATCATGAGGAGGAAGCAAAAGTCATTAATACTTTCATATAATTTTAAGAGTTATAATTCTTAACATAAAATTTAAAAATATTTTAAAATAATTAGTACATATTATTATGTATTAATAAATAACTCATATGTAATACATATTTTATGTGTTACAGTTATATGTTTAAGCAACATGCAAACAAACTGTTTAAAGTGACTATTTTTATTTGGGTAATTAAATTTGTTCTCTTAAAAATTGTATGATGAAGGCCTTGTTTTTATACGTGTTCTCTTTACATATTATTTTGATATATTTAAAAATAATTTATATGTGCAAAGTTACATTGCTTTTATACATTTAACTGTTGAATAACAACTATTATACTCTATATGAACTATAATTTCAGGTTCTTATAAATGGAGAAATAGAGATTTTTTTTAGGGTTGGGAGGAACTTTAATAATCAATTTTATTTTAACCTGCTTATTTTTTCAGCTAAGGAAACTGAAATTCAGAGAGATCTAATGACTTGCGCAAATCACAATTAGGCGTACAATAAACTAGAACTCAGATTTCCGATATCTTGTTTCATTGTTCATCTGTTTCATTAACATTTATTCAGTGCCTGTTTTGTACACATCATTGTGGTAGATACTGTGAGGTAGCCAAAATAATTAGGAGAGAGTGAATTATAATTTCAGAGGATTGTAAGAGATAATGTTTTAGTGCTTAAGAGAAGATTAAGCACTAAACACTGACTCTAACTCTTCTAATCCTGGCTTCTAAACTAACTTGTCTACATTTATTTGCTATTTTGAAGCTTAATATGGAAATTGACATAGCAAGTATGCAGCAGTTGCTGTTTAATCATGTTGCCATTTATAGTTGCAATATCTATCACCTGTTTGTTTGACTTTTTGTTTTTATCAAATATTTTAGGATCCTTACAATAATATTGTCCGTACTACAATAGAAGCAATGGCAGCCGTGTTTGGAGGGACTCAGTCCCTGCACACAAATTCTTTTGATGAAGCTTTGGGTTTGCCAACAGTGAAAAGTGCTCGAATTGCCAGGAACACACAAATCATCATTCAGGAAGAATCTGGGATCCCCAAAGTGGCTGATCCTTGGGGAGGTTCTTATATGATGGAATCTCTCACAAATGATGTTTACGATGCTGCCTTAAAGGTAAGTTTTTCCACTTTGCAACTTTGTTTTCAAGATTTACAGATTTATAAAGATTTACAGATTTTAAAACTTATAAGTTGAGATTTATAGATTTTAAATTTATAAGTCATATCCTTACAGATTTATATCACAGTTTACACAATGTTAGCCAAAAAAGGAAAATTCAGATTTGATTTTATTGTTTTCAAAACTGAATCTATTTAAAAATACATTTGTATTTGTATTAAAGTATTTTATTCAAAGAATTAAAAAGCAGCTCATACAAAAAACAAAAAAGCTTACAAAAAAACAGCAGTTTTTGATCTTCCACTTTTTTTCTCCTGCTTCCTGGGGTAAGATATATACTTTGCTTATTTTTATCTGCATAGTTTGAAATCACATGTATACTGTTTCTTCTAATTGTATCAACTGTACACATTGTTCATGAGACCGTAGACACCATCTATTGCTTTCCTAGTAGTGTAGTTTAGATTTTGGCTGATTCATACCGCTTCTTTCTTTCCTCCCTTACTGCCAATAGAATTATATCTCAATGTAATCTTTTCTGAAATCTTCTAATGTTCTCATTTGATTGAAATTGTTTTTTTCTCTAGTTCTGCTCACTATTGCTGTTCTTTCATTCTTCTTTGCCATTATACTAGGAAAATATTTTCATTTCTCCTATGTTGAATTCTGAATCCTGAATCCCATGTCTGTCTCTTGGTTATTTGGAAGTACGTCTCACAGAAACCTGCTAAAAAGGGTGCATGTGAGATAAATTATTTGAAACTTTGCCTGTTTGAGAATGTCTTTATTCTATTTTTATACTTGATTGGTAGTCTAAATTTGACATTATTTCCATTCAGGAAATTCATAAGCAAGTTTATAAACATTGATCTGTTTTTCATTCTAGTCTTTTATTCTGGTTTTCAATATTTTTGATCAAAAACTTGATGCCATTCTCATTCAGGATCTTTCTTTCTGAGGCATTGGGACCTCTTCTTTATTTTTTGTGTTGATGCATAACTTGGTATATTTTTTTCTACATGGTACTGAACCTTGGATCTTTTTCATCTCACCTTCTTTTTTAATATATATTTTTATAGCTCTAGGAAATTTTCTTGTATTATTCTTTAATATTTTTTTTCTTGCCATTTTTCTGTGGTTTCTTTTTCTAGAACTCCTAGTCATAAGCTACGGACCTCCTTCAATAATATGCTGATGTTCTTATGTTTTCTACAGTATGTCTGTTTGCCTTTTTATTCAGTGTTCTTAAAGATTTGTCAACTTTCTATGTCTCTTAAGTATTTTTACATTCATTTATTATACTTTAAATTCATAGAGCTCATTTTTATTTTCTAACTTCCCCTTATAATTAATGTCGTATTAATTTGTTTCATTAGTATAGAATTCCTTTTTATTCTGAATTCATTGTATTTTCCGAAGTTTTCTTCTGCATCCTGTATTGTTTCTGTTTCCTCTCTTGTGCTTTTTGTTTTTAGTCTTTAGTCAGAGTATAGGCTTTTATTTCAGTAAGAAATTTTACCCTTACTTCTCTCTGTGATTTGGTGTTTGATAGTTCATTGCATATTGAATTCATTTTCCATAGACAGTAGTAAATTTTGGTTCTCCTGACAGAATGAGAGAGGGTTGGTTGCAAACTCCCAAACTGTCTTCCTCTTTTTAGCTTCTCATTTTATACTTCTGTAGAATCTAATACAGATTATTCTTTCTTGAACTCATCAGGGAAAAGCAAGTTCACCTTGATCCTTTCTGCTAAGACACATATTCCGCTGCTTTCTGCCTTTGTATATGAAGCTATGATTGAAGGTTTAAATGTTTCCTTATTTCATTAAAGATGAGGTTACATTGTTTCTCTGCAGCTCAAATCGAAAGTAATTGCATTTAAAAAACATTTTTCTTAGAGACTTTATGTAATTATGAAAACTTTATGTAACTAAAAATAAAGATTAGAGAATTGATGTTGTCTTTAATTTTCTCTTAAGACTTGAGAGGTTTTGTGTTTTTCAGAATATAATTGTTAATTTTTCTGTTGTCTTTTCAACTAACTATAAACACACAGATTCTAATTAATGCCTTTGATGTTTAATTCTGTTCTTATGAAACATTAACAGGTAGTTTATAATTTTAATAATAGTAATTATAAACGGTTTTAAATTTATATAGTTTATACACATTTTTAATATTCTCTTTTAGTTTTGTTAATGTTTTTCTTTTTAGCTCATTAATGAAATTGAAGAAATGGGTGGAATGGCCAAAGCTGTAGCTGAGGGAATACCTAAACTTCGAATTGAAGAATGTGCTGCCCGAAGACAAGCTAGAATTGATTCTGGTAAGATAGTGAGAAAGTTCATATGTGAAATCCAGCATTTAAAAAGAAATTTATTTCTGTTTGAAGATAACATGTATAATTAATAAAACAAAAATAATAAAAATGGAACTTGGGTAAACTTTTCCCATATACTTATATCTAAATATATCTGTGTTTGTATATTTGCATACATGGATGCACACAGGCAAGCATAGGTACAAAGTGTGTGTGGATGTCTACCCATTGTATATATGTACATGTTTGTGGGTAGATGTCATTAATGTTTTAAAGATGATGCTGTTGAGGATCACAGTGCTGTCTGCATTGGAATTTTCATTCAGTGAATACTTTTTTAGTTTATTTTATATGAGGCACTTTCTATGTCTGGGCATACAACTGGGAAGAGGACAGACATGACCTCTTTGCACACAGATCTTACATTCTAGTAAAAGAGACGAAAACGCACAAGTAAATAAAGAATTATAGATCATAATAAGTGCTAGGAAGGAAATATGAAAGAGTATAACCAGGGGTAGGAGGTGTGGAATGTTTTATATAAGAGTAATAATCTGGTAGTTTGAGGTAAAATGTATTTTTTATCATGTAAGGAAGTATCTTTGTAATTTTGATTTACTACTTACAGATTGTAGAAGGGTTATTTATTTTGTTTAAAAGCGATTGGCTGAATTCAAGAAAATATTAGAAAAGCTACTAGGTGTTCTCTACCTTATGGCAACTTCTCTTATTGTTATTTTGAAGTGTTAGAAGATTTATTAGAAATTATGGGAAAGTGTATGTTAATAGTTTGGTAAAATAATGAAAGTCTTTCTTACAGAGACTCTGACATATACCCCTTCTTTCCTCCTACACCTCCTTCCCATATTGGGATTTGCTGATCTATATTGAAATTTCATTAAAAATTAAGACTACTACTTAAAGATATTAAATTTATCAGGAAAATACATCATAACCAGAGCATTACAATTAGGTAATTATTTGTGAATAAAATTTTTCTTTGGGAAATTACCAGGATCTGAAGTAATCGTTGGGGTAAATAAGTACCAGTTGGAAAAAGAAGACGCTGTAGAAGTTCTGGCAATTGATAATACTTCAGTGCGAAACAGGCAGATTGAAAAACTTAAGAAGGTATTAATAGCTTTTTTTGTTTGTTTCTTTAGTATTTTCTGTGTTCTGGGCACTATTAAGCTTTAAATTGTCCTGCTTAATTTAATCCTTACAACAGCATGAGGTGGGTATTATTTTTCATCATTTCAAATATAAGGGAACTAAAGATAAGGCATTGAGAAACTTGCTCAGGATACATAATTAGGCAACCAGGACTCAGTCTTAGTCTGTTGACACCCAAACCTAGTTTTAAACCATGATATCTACCTCTGTGAAACTTATACGTTGTTATTAAAAACCACACTACAATAATAATACCTTCCACAATTTGTAGATTAGAACCAAGGCTTAGATGATATATAACTTATTCAAAGTTAAACATAGAATAAAGTTTAGAGTTAGTATTTGAACCCAGGGCTTCTTATTGTAATTTCTTTCATTAGAATGATGGCATCTGATACTACTATGAAATAATTACTTACTTTTTGATTTTTAAAATTCAACTATATTTGGCAGTGCTTTAGTAAGCTACAATTTATAATAAACTTTATTTATTTTGATTGACACTAGAGTACTATATTTTCTTCTTATTTTTAGTTTGTCACTGAGTTGATACAAATATATGAAATACTAAAATAAATAAATCCAATTAATTGTCACTGTTGTAACCTATATATTTTTGTTGTATTAAGCTACTTTGGCCTCTTAATCTTTGACATTTGTAATTATTCCTATTTCCAAGGTAGAAAACTTAAAAATTTAATGGTTTTTCTTTGTTCACTTTTCCTGAGATTGTTTAATATATGACTTTTTTTTAGTTCAATCTACAAAAATCGAATAGATATTTGGAAAACGCTTCTCCTCTCTCACACTTTAAGTTCGTATTAACTTTATATCTTCATAGCCTGAGGGATTTCATTTATCATACATGATATAAACCTTATTTTGGGCAACAGAGAGAAATTCTATACAATATATGAATAATAGTTAACATTTATTGAGCACTTACTATGTACCAGATACTGTACTAAATGCTTTTCTTGAATTATTATTACTTTTGTGTATTATTTCATTTAACAGGTAGTTACTATTTTTATTTCTATTTACGGATGAGGGAACCAATGATTGGAGAGTCTCATTTAGTTGCTTAAGGTTATTAGTATAAGTGAGAAAGCTGGGATTTGAATGCAGGCTTTTTGAGTCTAGTGCCAGTTTAGGGGAAATGGATATTCTGATGTAACTTTTTCCTAGTTTTGAATCTTCTTAGGACCATAACCAAATCAAAGTTCTTCTATTATAAAAATTAACTTTCATAGCTAGAATCAGATATTTTTATAGCAAAATATATTTCTGCTGCAATACTCTGAGCTCTTTTCAGTAATGAACTCAAGTTTATATTTTCTTATGTTTTCCTTTTAACCACAGTTTTAACAATATTTTACCTGTGGTGTTTTTTTTTTTTTTTTTTTACGTAAAAGCTTTGCATAATCATTTAATTTGAGTTTTGGTGCTTTTGCTGCCAGTAAGTATTCAGGTAAATAGTTCATCTATTCGATCAGTAAAAGTGATTGAAGAAAATAGCAAATATAGCTTTGGAAGGGGAAGTTTTATGCTTTGGAAAAAATGAAATGCATATTTTTCTGCTAGTTGATGGTTTCCAATTCTTCTAAGCTACTAATGATGCGGACTCTGGGCCCAGTACTACCCCGTAATTTTCTTGTCTATTATATTGACACATTTCATTTCATTTAGCGTGATGGCAAACAGCTGTTGAACTATTAATCTTTTCTCAGCAAAACTAGAAAAATGTCTTTTAGATTACTTTGTTAATGTATACCTTCTCCAAAAACGAAAATCAACAGCAGTAAATGAATCAGTGCTCAAACGTGCATGTGCACCAAAATTTATGGACCTTCAAAATGGAAAAAGATAGAGATTATATACCACTGCCAGTTTTTTTATGTGTAAGTAAAAATTAAATGTAGTCAGTTTCGTATTGTTTTAGTATTTTTAAGTTGGAGGGTAAGTTGTAGAATTTTGTTGTTAATTCTTCCCCCAGCACTCCTAGAGGGAAAAAATGATACTTGTAGAATCTGAGGCTGAACCACCTTCTACTTTTGTTCAGTGTTCTCTTACACACTATACTGTGTGGATGCGTGAGCAGAAAAACAGGTCTAGTGTTTACCTGAAAATGTTCTGCAGGTTCAAATGCAGCACTGGAGATAACTTTATTCAAAGGAGGCATTTTCAGCAGTTTTTTTTTTTTTTAAATTAAATTTTAATGAGGTCCAGTTGTTTGCCAGGCCTATATGATAGCAAACCTCATCTGCATTGCAAAGTCTAATACTATAGGTCTGACTGCCAAACATGCAAAAATAGACACAGCTCAATAGATAAACATATAAATTAGTTTACAGTGCATGTATTGGAGAACATCTCAAGTAAAAAGGAGAGAGAAAAAGGCGTTCTTGCTTTGAATTGAGTAGGACCTGCCAAAGTTCACTTGCTTTGCATTTAAGATTTGATGAGTGGTAGAGGTAGGAATTTCTGGTGTGTGCTGTGTATCTACTGAGCTTTTATTTATGTAGAGTGGGGCGCTGCAGATCTTTGCTCTGCCTTGAGGACCTGACCATCTTTGCTCTGTTTTTCTTTCTTATCATCGCTTGCCCTGAAATAGACTTCTCACCACTGGAGAAACCAATCTTGGGGACATACATCAGCAATAAAGCACACGATTTTCATTTTCAATTTGAATTGTTTTGTGTAAAAACAAAAAGGTTTTTGGTCAGGCTGCAAAATAGTAATTTTAAGTCCCAGACCTAGGGTTTTCCCCCACCCAAATGGTGAACATTTATGGTGAAAACCTCCAATTTCCTCTTACAGTAAACATGAAAATTATGATTTCACTCAGAGCCTGCGTCTTTTTCCAATCTTAATGGCAAGAATCTGCATACACTTGCTTGTGGAAATGTCATAAATTGGCCTCGGATCAATTCCTCAAAGATAGTACACACCAAAGTGCCACTTTCAAATTTTTAGCCCTAGTGAAATAAGATTTTACTCTTCCCAATGATGTTTGCCTTTCCACATTCAGGGCTGACGGCAGAGGGATAAGCAGGGATATATTCCTATAAAATTAAACCACTTCATTACATATTATTCTGTAGAGTGAGCAAAAAGATATTAACATTTTAGTACAGTGATGATATGATTTTGCTTAAAAATTATATGAGCATTTGGTCAATGGTTGTGGAATGCATCTTCTACCCTCCTAGTAACTTGATCTAAATTAATAAACAAATGTTTTTCTTTTCACTTGTGCCATATGCTGATCCCAGTTACATGGGCAGAAAGAGGCAGCTTGTAATGTTTCTTAGAGGATTAACACTGTTTTGCATATGGTAGTATGCAGATGCAGGAGTAGATGTGGGGTAAAATGCATTCCATGGTTTCTTTGTGTTTTAGGAAGCTTGATTTCAATTGTTTATTTCGTGTGACATGAACCCTTTTTATTTAACTTAGTAGATCTGGTAGATACATGCTAAGAGAAAAACATTCTGTGAACAGCTTTCACCAGCAATTAACTCTCTGCCACTCCCCAAACTGAAAATTGTGCTTTCATTCATCTTGAAAGGTCCAAAGTGGCAGAAAGCATCTTGTCTACAAGAACTAACTCTCTTCCGAAAGGGAAAAAAAATAAGCCTCTGCTTTAATGAAATAAGAGATGTTGTGGATGTTAACCAAACACAGACACGTTCAAGTGGCAGTCTGGTTTCCAAAAACAAAGGCCTGTGAGTCACATATTATTCCACATGAAAATAAATTGATAGACAACAAGATGAGAAAAAGTTGATAATAAAATTTGAAATGTTTCACCTTGACTTTTTCCCTCCAAGTTGATTTTGTTGCTTGCAGAGCTCAAAGGCGTATGGTCCAGATAAGTAGAGGTTCTTGGGACTTGTTTTTATTAACCCTGAAAGTCATTTGCCATTAAATAGAATTGAGTTCTTTTGTTGTTTTGCTCCCGTCTGTCCTTGGCAGAGGTGGTTGCTACTTCTCTTGACATTCAGATTTTGTTGTTCTCTTTTGTTTTCAGGGTAAGACGTGACCTTTTGAGGTGACTATAACTGAAGATTGCTTTACAGAAGCCAAAAAAAAGGTAAATTCGAATGTGATTAGTAAAGTTGTCTGTAAGGCCGCTGTGTCTTTTGCCTTCCAGGCATTTTAATTTAGTTGTTTCTTGTTCCGTATTTGTCAAATAAACATGTATTTATTTCCAAGTAAGTACATATGTGGCATATTTTTGGAGGTCCTAAGAAAAACGGTTGCCCTTAAGAAATGGTCTACAGATTCACATTTTCCCCCCAAATATTATCAAAGTCTCATCTGTTTGTTGAAGCTGAACTTATTTTTATTTTGTGAATTTATTTTTTGCTTGTTGACTTGGTAGGTTTAAAGTTAGAAAGGAATATTCACATCACAAAAGTGGTGATTCATAAAATTAACTTGCTGCAAACAAGAGTAACGCATGTCAGTATTGTGTGCTGAAGTGGTGTCATCCGATTGATGTTCATCTGGCGGCTTTATAATCACCTTCTTTCAGAAATTAACAGTCAGGCACCATAGCAACACGCCACATTGATATAACTGCTGAGCAGTGTGGGACATATCCCTGTAATGTCAGCACTAGGCTGCCTTGTTCTCTTGACCTTGCTTGAAAATCAAATGAGTACTTGATTTTAAAATTAGAAGTTTTCAGAGAGACTAATGTAGCTTAATGAATTAAAGCCAAATTTAATTTTCTCAAATTCGCTTTTGGGAGGGGGGATGAAAAAGCATTCCAGTTAAAATGGTTATGAATGCTACCTACATATTTACGTGATTTCAAAAGTACCTCTCTGTTAAAGGCAATGATCATCTTACACAAGATAATCCTGCAGGTCCTTTTAACATCTGATATTTCTCAAGTAGTAGCATCTTCGTTTCTTTTAGAATTTTTGGCCTTTAATAGTTCCATTGGATTTGGTTGATTTGTGTCTGTCTAAAAGCAGGTTACCTGCCAGCATGGTTGAACAAAGCCTTTGCTCAGATTTTACTAAAGTTTATGTATTTGTCAGATACAGACGTCTTATTGAGTTGAACAAAGTTTTTTGTGCAATTTTCATAATGTGAAGAATCTTTGATCATTTTTTGATAAATCTCACCTGGGGCTTGGGCGTTCTAGAATGCATATATATAAAGGGTATGGATTTGTTTTTGTAGTTGCATTCTGGCACATTTAATTTGGGCCAGAAAAATCAGACTTACATCATTTCACCGTATATTTTACTTAAATGAAACCTTTGTAGGATCCACCTAATTGTATTCCAAAGGGGACAAACATATGTTTCAGATGTTTCAGCGTGGAAGGGATTGATTCCCAACCAATCATTGGGATTATCAGTTCCGAGCAAGACACTTCCCTTTGCTCAGGCTCAATTTTTCAATCTTTAAAAGGAAGGGGTTAATCTATATCAGGGGTTTGCAGACTTTTTCTGTCAAGGGCCACATAGTACATGTTTGGTACTTGGGGAGGCATTCAGCCTCCATTGCAGCTACTCAGCAAGGTAGTAATTTGCTGTCTCCTGGTCTCTATAATCTCACAGAGTGATCTCAATCCAAGATAGTCCTCATGCAAAGTGGTGCCAGATGTGTAACTCATCTCCTGCTGTTAGCAGAGGTTTCTGGTGAAGCTAAAAATTGTAATTAAACAGGCCAGGCATAGTGGCCCATGCCTGTAATCCCTGCACTTTGGAAGGCTGAGGCAGGTGGATCACCTGAGTCAGGAGTTCGAGATCAGCCTGGTGAAGTATAGTGAACACGGTGAAACCCCATCCCTACTAAAAATACAAAAATTAGCTGGGCATGGTGATGGGTGCCTGTAACCCAGCTACTCTGGAGGCTGAGGCAGGAAAATCACTTGAATCCAATAGGCAGAGGTTGCACTAAACCAGGACTGCACCACTGTACTTCAGCTTGGGTGACGGGAGACTCTATTTAAAAAAAAAATTATGATTACACAAAGCTGAAAAAGTGGTAGGACAGATGGAAAGTTCAGCTTGAGAGTTGCCTTATCTGTTCAGCTCCAAAATAAGACCTTCACTGATGGATTTTCATTTGTTTTTTTTGTTTGTTTTTGTTCTTTGTAATCACCTATAAGCATGAATTATTTTTCTTCTGACTCAATATCTTTATAATGTCCATTCTTTCACCTCTTACCTGAAAATGGAAATATAGTCCCTACACCCACAAATTCTATGATATTATTGAAAGTAAAAAATATGTCAAGGGAAAATTTGGAAAGAAATGTGTCTAGAAATTTGTCATTGGCATTGACTAAGAAAGATAGTCTATTTTACAAAAAAAAATTGCTTTCTTTATAATTACGATCAAGTGCATGATCTATATTATTTAATATCATGCAAATAAGGCCCCCCGTTGTAAAATTTCTGGATCATAAAAGTATTTTATATGCTCAGTCTCTGTAGTGATTCTCTACTTTCAGCTTTTTCTGTTGTCTTTGATTTTGTTCTGTATACATTGTCTTAGTGTGTTTGGTGTTACTGTAAAGGAATACCTGAGTCTGGGGTAATTTATAAAGAAAAGAAATTTATTTGGCTCATAATTCTGCAGACTGTACAAGAAACATGCACCAGTACCTACTTCTAGTAAGGACCTCAGGGAGCTTCCAATCATGGCAGAAGGGGAAGTTTGGGACAAGCATGTCACATGACAAGGAAAAAAGGAAGCTTGGAGGGAAGAGGTGCCGGGCTCTTTTTAACAACCAGATTTCTCATGAACTAATAGAGCAAGAGCTCAGTCTTTACTTTGGCAAGGGCACTGGGCTGTTCATGAGAGATCTGCCCCATGACCCAGACACCTCCTATTGGCCCCTCCTCTGACATTGGGGATCAGATTTCAAGATGAGATTTGGAGGGGACAGATTCCAGAGTGTGTCATACATAATCTTCAGTATTCCTATTCCGAGTGAACATTTCATTACTTAACACTTTTTTTTTCCTTTTATAGTATCCATTCCATCTGTGTTTTGATGCCAATTTCAAATTTTGGGGAGAAATAAATTAGGGTATATAGACTCAAGTAATAAATGATGTCATTTTTACCTTTGGACAAGGTCAAAGATCTTTCAAAGACTAATTTGTATATATCTTGATCTCTTACATAGAAATAGAAGATTTGTTCGAAATAAAAAATTTAAAAGATGTTGAAAGTGAGCATAGTGGTTAGCGTTTCTTCCTGATGAGTAACCCTTAAATGAGGAGGCCTTGCCATTTGGCAATGGGCAAAAAAATCAACATCATCTTTCACACTACAAGAAACATGTAGACTTCAGATGCCAGGAGCTTCTCAGTAAATACCATGCCCCAAATTTGAAACCTGGAAATTATTAACAATCAGTATAGATGCACATAAATATGCTTACAAAGGTACTATGGGAGTAACTGATTATATACATAAAAGTGACCAGGCAAATTCAGAAAACCAGATGAAGTCATTTTTCAAATTTCGATTCTAAGGTCTGAAGAATCATAAATCACAGTCATCATACTCAGCAGTGATATAACAATTTTCTTCCAACTAGATCTGAGCGCTTTACGAAATGGGTCTGGTTGCTGGCATTCCTAAGAGGTAGCTGGCAATTCTTATAATCCCCACTTTCCAGACTGGAAAAATGGTCCCGTAGATGATAAATAATTTATCCAAGGTCATCCAGAATGTCAAGATGGAAACTAAAGAGAGGTACACTGGTCACAGTTATATTGATGTCATTCTATTCTGGCTGCCTTGGTTTGGTGATCTAATAAAGGTTTATGTGGCATTTTTCCCTGCCTTCTCTCACCGTTGACAATTTACCCACATGCCTTTGCTTAAAATTCAAATCCAATTTGTAAAATTCATCATCTTATATTCAATTCTGAATGGCATTGAGAGTTGCAGATAATCATCAAGCCTGTATAGATTACAATTAAAATGGTTATTTTTAAACATTAGGCATCTCCAAACTTCACATTTTATGTATTGGTTCGTTTTTTTGTTTTGTTTTGTTTTTTTCAGTCAAGTTATTTGAGAGAAAATTAAAAAACAATCAAAAAGAAGTATAATCATTGCAGTTTCCACCCCTCTACCCCCATCCCTAATTTGAGCTGTTTTAGATTAGATGAAGGAACTATGTAAATGCATCCTTGTAAATAACATTCATTGTGTCTTACATATTATAAATTATTTCTTGGTGAAAAATAAAGCTAAAATGCTATTCAGTTATTTGAAATATACTTATCAGTTCTTTTAAAAGTATATATGTGAATGACTTGAATATTTACTTAATGACAACAGCAATTCTGAGCTTAACCCATTCAAACCAACCTTTTCCTAGTATTCAGCATTTGAATTATGTAACTGTTAATTAAGGAAGTTGTTATGAAGACACTGTAAGACAGTCTTCCTTGAGTTACCAGGTGACCGCATTGGCTGAAATGTGATCAATTTAGTTAAGCATTGAAATGCTCCTTGACACCCTCCCCGCCCTACACACACAGAGAGAATATATTCATGCCTGAGTTGTAACAGTCAGTGTAAAGACTAGGCTGGTGTAACAAAGAGACCCCAATGTAAAATGGCTTAAATAAAATAGAAATGTACTTCTCTCATGAAGCAACCTGGCAGTGCAGCTTATCTGGGCAGATTCTTTCCATCCATCCTCACTCTCCTCCCTTGAGGCTTTGTCCTTATCATAGGGTTGAAGCTATGTCGTTGTGGCACTCTGGAGACATCCAAAGAAAGCCATTTTCTTTTAATCAAAAGAGTTAAACATTGTATACATCCCACTCATTGCCACTTGCCTGGTAAGATTATGGTCATAAGGCCCCAGCAAGCTTTGAGGAATGCTGGGAAATGCCTCTACGTGGGTGCCCAGAAGCCTAGGGAGAACTGGCAAATAGATTTAAGGGGACAAGTAGGATACAAGTACTTCATTGATTGAGTTGCTCCAATCTAGTAATTTCATTCATTCATACAGATGTATGTACATACACACATATATTAATTCTTACTGCAGATGTTTATTGGTGAGTGTGTGCTTAGGTGCTGAGATGATACCAC